TTACCCGCTTTTTTTTTTATCATTCTACAATCAATATAATAACTAAGGACTATGGTTATATTTTATATTGAACATATAAAAAAATAAGAATCTACAAGAGAGCCAATTTTTCTCGTACCTAATCAAATAACACCTATGTTATTAATTGATGTGAGACACATGAGTAAGGAAATTATCTGGTAATATTATAAATTGTAACTAAAATTATACAAACTTTGTCTCCTCTATTAATGTCTTTTGGGTTACCACCAAATCCTAATATGAGAGCTGTAACAATTGATGATTTTCCAGATCCATTGGGCCCAATTATTAAATTCAGTTTTGAATTTGGAGTATATGTAACTTCACTAAAAGTCCTGCAAAATCAATAACATATTTTTACCATTGCTTATTAGGACCTAATTTATTCAAAAAACATTTTGTTTAATTGTTGGTTATGGATAAAAAAGTGGCATTCATTTAATTGTAAAACTCTTAACTACACATAGTAATATAAACCAAGTCAAATAAAATAACTATATTATTTATAACATATGCATTACAATATACAACATTTAATAACAAATAAATTACTTTTAAACTACTTAAAGACAGTATAGAAATTTTTGTAAAATAAACACTAATTTAGTAATTCAATTAGTAAAATAAAATTATATTAATAAATTTAAATTCATATATAATAAAAGGTAGGTAGTATCAACTAATTAAAGCGATTAACGTAGCATCATTATAATATACCTAATATACCAAAAACTATAGCGTAAAAGAAATTTAAGATTAGCATAGTTAAATTATCATTGTTTTGTTGCTACCTACAACATATTTGATGATGATTAAAATTGTATAACTATTATCATAATGATGAATGTATTAACAAATATTTTGGGTTTAATCATACATAATCAACTCGTGGGGGTATTCAAAGCTCATTTAGAGACCAAAAATGTAAAATCAACTCTCACAACAAGGTACCAATAATTAATAAGAAAGAAAAAATAGCACGCGCTACATATAAATAATAGGTAGCATTGGAAGTAGCGCACTTTAAAAAGAAAATAACAATAGTAAGCTACTTTTTTTGGTGAGAACGGTTTTAACATTAGTATTTATACGTAGCAGCGTTCCAACCACTGGTAGGTATGTATACAAAACTTAAATCTGCATGAGATTATAACAAATTATTTTATACAATAAATTCTTAAAATATTGAAAAGTTAAAAGTGTATTAACTAAATTAACATTTTTACAGATTTTGAGAATTAAACCAACTCACATGAAATTCTTTAATACTAATTTGATAATCGAACCATCGACCATTTGATCAACTTTACGTTTTTTGCTTACAACTCCTGAAACTTCTGAATCGCCATGGCTTCTGGAACTCGATGGGGAGTTATTCATCATTACGAACACCTATTAAGAATAAAAACTATTAAGAAATGTAATTTACACTTGACGCACATGTAAAAAAGTCTCGTCAGTTAAATGCAATACGATATTACTATTGATCCATAAAAATAATGAGTATCCTAACTACGTCCAAAAAAGAGCCAAGCACAATTCGCATTGAATTATGTATATTTTCGTCAAAGCAGAAAAATGTTTATAATATTATGTATTTTATTATTTTTGATTGCATCCAAATGTAAGAATTATTAAAACCACAACGAAAAAATATCGTCAGTATTTCGGACGTATACACTACACTAATAATATAAACGAATCAGTAAGTAGTAATTACTCAATACTCAATTACGATAAATGAAAATTAGTAGTCGGTAGTCACAACTCGGTAAGGCCACCAAGACGGCACTTTGATTCGTACTCCACAATCCGGGTAAGGTTGTTAGGTTTGTTGTCCCATTACATTTCGGGAAAACTACTCAATTACGCGGGATTTTAGGCGCCTCAACGGTTGAACACTATCACAATTGACTGCTAACGTCTATGTTCAGCTTCAGAAAAAGTGAAAAGTAAAAACTAAAACTGTAATTGTCGTATTTGATGAACGCTCATAGAGTTATAATATTATAAGTCTATGTGAACGCCGGTGGCGGGTGAACGGCGAATGATGATAATTGATAACGATAAATGGCGCGAAAATTGACAAAGCAGTGTCGCTATGTGTGGTAAATTGAAAATTATTCATCAAAATCTCGACGACTCGACCTTTGTCACGATTCACGAGTATTGAATTGAGTAATTGAGTACATGATACGCATTAAGCTGATATATTTAGACATTTTAGTATTATATAATATTAAGGTAATTTAATATCCTGATTTGTATTTCGTGGTACATGATTACGATTAAAGATTCTTTAATCGTAGACGTGATCAAGCCACGGAGGTAAGTGAATATTTATTTGTTAAGATATACACCTTGTGCATGATGCATGAAAACTTTATTTTATTAGCGACCACCCCATTTATTAGACATTTTAAAAAAGATTATTTTATTTGAGTAGGTATTTTTGATATAACGACCAGCGGCGTTTATAAGGGGGCCTAGTAGGCTGCAGCCCCTTCCCTGCAAAAAAAAAAATTACTGTCGTAAGCATGATATAAGTTACCTTGGTTATATCGTGATCGTTACTGTTAAATATATAGTTACTTCTAGAGCTTAGGTGCTATACTGTGCTAGATCATTTGACATTAGTCAGTTGCTATCAGTGGCGTAATTAGGAATTTGTCTTATGGGGGGATAAACATTTTTTTCCACACAAAATACTTAGATTTTCAAGTACAATATCTGGGAAAACTATTTCATCAAAAATTCTTAAACTAATATAATATATGTACACAAAATGTATTAATAAATGTGCTTTAAAATTCTACACAATTTAGTACCTATACAATATTATAATAATTTCTTCAAAATGTAAATTTTGAATATATTAGAATTAAAATTTACTTTTAAATTAAATAATAATTTATAGATTTCTTGATATTAATTATATTTAATATATTTCGTCGTGATGTCAGCACGATAAAACATATTATAATTCCATAAGCTTCAAATTAATAAATAAATATACACATTATATAGGTTCTGGGGGGATATATCCCCTTCATCCCCCCCCATAATTACGCCCCTGGTCGCTATATATTACAGCCCACCCCGATAATTATTTCTTTGTACGCCTGTGGTAATGACGYTTACGGCGGTGACCACTGAGCTCAGATTCCAGATCGGTGATGAGTGACCTGAGGGCAATAYTGGACGACAGATGGTGGTAGATAGGACCTGATACCTGGTACCCATTTSATTTCATTTTTTCTGAGACTGTGACTATTTTATTGTGTAATAGTAAAACAAAAGGTGAATAGTGAATAGCCATTTGAATTATACACGATCATGGACATACCTACCTAGAGAACTTTAATTATAGGTAGCCATTATTATCTAATATCTAGAGGACTCTATAGACGTGCCTACTGCCTATTAATCAATAATCTATAAATAACAATATTTATCTTAAATATTGTAATGTGTCTACAATATCATGGCTAAATAAGTTATTTAGTCACGGTCAAGTATATTATGCTATAATATTATCATAACAAATAATATTATAGTCCATAGTGTCTCGACGACGTGTCTATAACCTGTATGTTATCAGTTATCGAAATACCAGTAATACAATATAATTTAATAGTAGGATTGTTGTATCTTGTATATTATGTAGTATGTACGAGTACGACTAGTACGAGTACTAGAGTAGTAGAGTACCAAACGATTTTGGACGAGCCTTGGGGTTTGGAGGGAGTCGACGAGAAGGAAACCGAAAAAGAAATTGATATTACGGAGGCGTCGTGATTCCCACGGTATTGCGATCGTGTGTCGTCGGCCGTCGTCGTGATTTTCTTGTTTTATTTTACTTTTGCCATAATTTATTATCTCTCGACTACTCGACTCTCCGTTTCCACAGTCCACAACACTTCCGTTCCGGGGTCCCCCACACACCTTTCCAACGTCGTCACCGTCGTCGTCGTCGTCGCCGTCTTCTCTTTTTTTTTTTGACGCGCGTACACCTCGGCGCGACGAGTGCACGACGTCCTTGTCGATGGATTAATCGTTTGTTATATTTATTATTATTATTCACCATCCGCTTCGTAACAGTGTGTTCAAATTTGACAGTATAGTAATAATAACAATGACAAAAAAGTCTATTATCATTAGTTCGATCACCTACTGACCCACCACCATCATCGACGTCRAATTATCAATTTTATTCATTTCCGTATTTAAGTCATTCACACTAGGCAGTAGGCGTCTACGAATTAATCACTTTTACCCAATACCTATTGTATCACCTCTGTCGTTCAGAGACGCTCGTTGCGCATCATCCGGGAGGGCTGACGGACCTCCTACAACCATCGAGCTGATTGTTCTATTGTGGCTACTGGACTAAGGACTTCAAGGCTCATTATTTGGGACTTGGCTTTATTGACATCGTTTTGGATTAAGTATGTATTTACCTGACCATCATTCAAGTGCATCGAAATGCTCTTTTAACGACTGGAAATAAATATAAAATGCGTATTATTATTGTATTGGTCTCGGAGGCCTAAGGTCACGTACTATCTCGCTTTATATAACAACAGCACTACCTATATACACGTTATACATTTTAATCTCAATCCGATAGCAATTGAACTTTGTTGCACCATTTATAGTAATGGAAGGGGGTGATGTCATCATAACTATAAATTTCGTTTTTCCAGGTGTTGTTGTTTTAACCGGAATAATATAATGTTGTRTAAGCGACACCAATAGTACGACAGCATACCTAGTAAATTAACTTAGGTATGTCACGCAAACAAAAATGGAGATCAAATCCTGACAATGAACAATTGGATGAATCACCTATATCGCTTACTATTGAAACGCTTACTGGTACAGCATTTGAAATTACTGTATGCCCAACTGATTATATAAGCTCATTGAAGTCGCGAATACAACGTGTTGAAGGTTTGTATTGTAATTAAATATGTATTTGTCTGTTTTATCGTTTTATGGTATTAAATATTTCATTAATCATTATTCAGGTATACCGGTCAACCAGCAACATTTGCTTCTAGGAGAAAAAATATTGTCTGACCATACAACAGTAGCTAATAATAATCTTCATGATGGATCAACATTACGGTTGGTATTGTCCTTACAAGGGGGACCAATTGGCACAAGCCGTAGAATGCTGCCCTTGGATAATGAAACCATTCGACAATTGGTTAATCTAAATAAGTAAGTAATATTATATTTTCATAGTTCAAGTCCAAAAATAAATWATATAAATCAATAATTAATCATACCTTTTGAACTAACTTAAAGATAACTCAAAATATTAAAAAATATTAAATTACCCYAGATATATATAGGTAATAGTAATACCTATGGGCTAAAAATTATTATTTTCCTAAGTATTTATTTATTTWTTTTTTTTTTTTAACATTCATTCATTTGAAAATATATAATCTGTATAAAAATATATTTTTAATTGAATTAATCAATTGACTAGGAATTATTAATGAAAAAAAATAGGTAGGTATGTACCTGTTATAATTGTAGATACTAAACTGATAAAATTAGTAAACTATATCATTATTTTATAAGATTGGCCGATAGAACTTATCTCCCTAATTATCAAGTTAGGTTCATTTTAACATAAATCCGTTTTTATATTAATGATTAATKAAGTTTTGATGTGATACATTATTAATTCGTCATTCAGTATTTAGGAAATTCAGGATTAATTACAATAAATACATAATATTATTAGTGATATACCAGTTACCTATTGACTATTACCTTATTATCAATGATGTAACAATTTTAGTTGATGAGAAAAAAAAGGAATGTTTTTGATTAACAATTGTGATTTTTTTTTTTTAGATTGGTTTTTTGTTGTTACTAGGGTAGAAGGAAATCATATTTTTAATCAGCCCTGCCTAATGATTGTAAATTAAATATAGTTAGTGTTTTGAAGATTGATTGATTTTTTTAGTAGTTTATCTATAGCACAACAAAAAGTAATAGAGAAATATTAAGAAAATGATTTTGATTTTTACCAAGCTATTTTGAATTTTATACCTGTWGCTTAAAATGTATTATATAATATTCTCTTATGTAATCTAATCTTACATAATTGTTATTGTTAATCTTACAGAAAAGAAATATTGGAGGATGCACCTCCAGGTAGTAAGCTTGCAGTCCTAATATATCGCGAAGGTGAAGTAATAAACTTACTTCGTGTTATTGAAAATAGTGATGGTTCTTTAACAAATTTAAAAGAATCCTCTAGGTAAATATTGAAATACTTTTGTATTTATTTTTTAACAATATAATATATATGAAAAATGCGTGTCTAGAAAAATATCTTCAGTAGAATTACCAAAAAAGAAGAAGTCTAAGCCATCTCTTGAAAATAATACTACATATCTTAAGATGATGCTGTTGAAACATAATTTAGAAACACTATCAATTTCGTCAAAATCTAAAGTAAGACTAATTTTAAACTCGATAGCCTATTTTTACATTTCTTATTGATATTCTTTTAGTACAGTGATGCCTAATCTGTAGTCCGCGAAAGATTTTTAGATTGAAAATAAATATTTAAAAATTATTAATTAATTTTTTTATTTGTTATCCTATGTATAAATAATAAAGAAAAAAAAGGTTTTTGAAAAACTAGAATATTTATTTAAAACCAGTTTATTACAAAATCTATATATTTAGCCATTTTATTTTTAACATAGATACTTATTTATACTGGTTTATATTCTCATCAATATTATAAAAATTCTGTAACATTCATTGTTAGTTTCTTTAAGAGTTGAGGGAAAGTTACATTAATGATTTGTTTCACGCTCTACTTATTTGTGAATATTCTTTTAATTTTACAGCAGGTTTATTACATGATAAATTATGATATATCTATCTAAATGATTGTTCCTCTTAAAAAAAAAAAATTACATCTTCCTTCAATTTTAAAATCAAAGCTCCCATTCTGCACTAAATATATTATACAGAGTGTCCCATG